AAGAATTTCGGTGGGTCTCTCAACAAGTGTGTTTGGCCCTATAAACTTGGAGGAATATTCTTGAAATTTTTTTCATCATTTCCTATTCACCTCATTTTCTTTAAAGATTTTATTTATTTGAAAGAGAGAAGCACAGTGACAGAGGGAACACAAGCAGGGGAAGTGAGAGAGGGAGAAGCAGGCTTCCTACTGAGCAGGTAGCCTGATGTGGGGCTCAATCCCAGGACCCTGGGATTAGGACCTGAGCTGAAGGCAGATTCTTAATGACTGAGCCACCCAGGCACTCCTCACCATCGTTTTAAAAACTGTTGTTATTAACTTGTTGGAAACATTTGTTTGAGAAACAAACAGGTCTTCTCTCCTGCTACCATCACACTCCTGATTGTATGACTTCAGGAGAGGAAAACAGTAATCATCCAGTGTATCCACTCAATTATTCATTTCTATGGTGATATTGTTAGTTTCCCAGAGCTCTTTCCTGTTCTGTGATTGTACAGCACTGTGTGTAGTTGTGCTTTTGTTTCACATCCATATGCCTCATGCATCCTGTAGATGTGACTGATCCTAGTGGTCAGAAACCAGGTCTCCTGGTTTCTGCTTTCGTGATATCATGACCTTTCTCCACACAGCACTCATCTCAGGAGCAACCTGCATTCCCTCTGCCATTTGTGCTCCATGCCCATCTCCCACATGACCCTGCCAGTGTCCGGTCACTAGGGTGTCACCCTTGTTCTGCACTGTAGCTCCAGAGGCCAGCTGATCCTGAGTCCCTAGAGGCTTCAAGATGTCCACTGGATGATGGACTTTAGTGTGATTTGAGCAGCCGAGTCACACTGCTCCTTAATGTCCTCCGAGGCTCTGAGCCTCGAAGCCTCCCACACAGAACATTCTGGAACATCATGACAGCTCACTTACCTAGAGTACACAGACAACAACCCCCTGATAGACAGGATCACAAGTCAACAAGGTCTCTGGGAGCAAACTCTTTGGGCTGAACACTGGCTCCACCACATCCTTCTCTCCAAGTCTCCCTTTCCCTGTCTGAACAAATGGATGCCCTACAGGGTGCCTCCTGGGTTGGCTTTCATGATTAAGTTTGACCCTCTGTGTAAATCACATGGTTAATTCCTGCCACATGCTAACGTTCCACTATTTGTACTTACCTTCATCATACTGATTACAGCGATTACATAACTTCTGTTCTTTGTTTTTATAAACCACAAGTGAACGCACATCCTTGTGAACATGTGTGATTATCTCCTTAGGATAAACTCCTCAAAGAAAATGTCTGTTTCACAATATAAACACATAGCATTTGTGGAAACATTCTTCTAAAGCACCTATTAAAAATTGTGTCCCAGTGATCACTTCCATCAACCTTTACGACAGTGTTTTCCTGACCTTCTGATGGACGCTCTCATCCCTTACTTTCATCTTTGCCAAGTACATACATTTATTTTATAGCTTTATTCCTATTACTTATTCCACATTCTCATACTTGTTTATGTTTTCTTATTACAAATACATTGGTTTGATTTTCATTTCCACCTTCCCAGATTGTTTTCTAACATTTTTTATTCTCTTTTCTTTCTTTTTCTTTTTTTATTATTGGATTGCATTTTACACACAATGTTACACTCATTTCAGGTGGTGTACAACATAGTGAATGGCCATATACCAATTCCACTCTTGGGTATTTACCCAAGGAAAAGAGAAATACCAATTCTATAATTATGTTTTGAATCAATTGTAGCTATTTTAAAATATGGAATTTAACAGAGAAGAGCCAGCAGCCCCGAACACTGGGAGCTGGTCTGACACTGACACTTGGGCTCAGTGTGGTCAGAAGCTGGTGAATGTCCACCACTTGACCATATTCTTCTCCTGTGGGGTATGATTCAGTCACCTCACAGAACATCAGCATGAGACAAGGACACTCAGAAACCACAACATCACTCTGTGTCATTACAGACAAAACAAGGCACTGCACAACCCACCGAATAACACACATCTCCCCGTGTCAGCCAATGTGAGCAATCGCTGCTTCTCCACCATGACTGCTCTCTCCTCGCTTAGGTCTGGCCCGCTGGAGAATGGACTCACTGAGATGCTCAACCATGGGATTGCCACATGTCCTGACAACACGCAGTCGGGAGTGGGCCCCACTTCCATGGATCCTCTCCAAAACGCCCATCCAAAGCCCATGTCCCATAGGTTCCAAAACCTTCATATTAAGATGCCCTGTGGCCCCCAAAGGGGTGTGTTCTCTTTCACTGCAACAGGTAATAGATCTAACTTGAGGGCCTGCAGGCGCTCCTGGTGGTCTTGGTTGAAGAACAATAATGAATGTTACCCTTTTGATTGTCAAAATTGTGTTTGTGTCTTTTAGTTCGATCATGACAGGTGTTTGTATCTTTGTGAGTGTGTGGTTGACATGCAAGTATTTCAAGTTTTTCTTGATGGGTTTTCATCACTGGGCCATGCTTAGAGAATTTCTTCATCTCAAAATTGTAAACATTTCATGTATATTTCTACCTCAGCAGAAATGAAGAGCACAGGGTCTTAAGGGTGAAGGGAAACACAGAATTGTTTGAATTTGAGCAGAAGTATGGGGAGGAGAAAGAGGTAAAAGATAAAAACATAATGGAATCTAAGAAGTCCATCTTCTGCTTTATGACGTTCACAAGTATGTACAGAGCCTACGAAGTATCTGATATATGTATGTTCAATAAATCCTCTCACCTGGGCTTGGTGAAGACTTATATGTCTCCTTCTGTTTATCAGATGAACACAGACAGTACCCAAGACACCCAAGTAACAGAGACGACAAGGGGCTCCAGGGATGGGCATTTTTGAGCACATAATGACCTAGATGTGATACAGCATGTTTTGGTTCATGTCTGTACACTTCAGCTACTACAATGCATGGTAATTACACTTAGGAGCTGTATCTTAAGCATATGATACGTTTCAGAGCCACATAGACAATCCATGTCTTCAATTTGAAGATAAATTTAATACGTATATACTTATGAATCACACAGTCTTTTCTTTGAGGAAGATCCTGACAACTAAGAGTGTTCTAGATATGTACTGACAGAATAGTAGCTATGAGCCACCTGTGGCTATTTAAATTCATATTCTTTCAAAACAATTAAGAATGCAACTGCTCACCAGCCCCATTTCAAGTGCCACCTGCATCTCAAGAGCCACATGCATCTCGTGGCCACCATACTGGACAGCGCAGATACAGAACAATTCCTTCCGCACAGACTGTTGCATTGGAAGGTGCTGTGCTTCATGCTTTGTGGGTCTCGAGTCAGACGCATGAGACACATGTAAAGTGAAAAGACCAACTTGATTTCTCTTACAGACGACATCAGATTTCTGTCTGGGATGTGAATATATAAGAAGCTGATGTGTCACAAAATCAAAGTCGGTTATGCATGGGTCTGGTGCCTTCAGGGGCAAACTGTTCCCAGTTACAAAATGGAAATCCCTGTCCCTCCACCTCCCTTCCCAGACTGGGGACCCTCTCTGCCATCACATTTCCAGGAGGTGAGGTCTCTTCTAGATGCACTCGGGGAATAAAGTCAGAGCTGAGTTTTCAGAGGCAGGAAGTGCAGCTCAGGGAAAGGAATTCTGCTGAGTGAGGACGATACCAGGGCAGGACCAATGGGAGACTGGCCTCTTTTTTTTTTTTTTTTTTTTTTTCCTTTTTAACAGAATGCCATTTTTACCTGAAAGAATGAACGACACAGAACTTAGATTATTTAGACTAGGACAACTGACCGACATTTTCTGGAAAATGAACATGAAGTTAAACTTTCATAAAAATCAACTCATACACGACAGCTGAGAGTACTTGCTGCCTTGATCAAATGTAAGCTCTCAAGAGAAAAATCAGAATTTTGGGAAACTTGTGATGTACCAATAAACTTGACAGCTTCCCACTACTGATCTATTGGGATCTGTGGTAATATTAAAACAAATATGACTTTTGATAATTCAGTTTTAACCTCATCAACACTGGAACACATACATAACTTAGTTAAATAACACATTACTTTTTTAAAAATCATGCATTAGTACAAGATCCATTCTGTGTACAAGATGGGCCTGTGGATTTTAATGCACCAGAGGACAGTGTCAATGATACTCTTTCAAGTTCCACTTTGCAAAGAACTTAGAGAAAGTACAACTTGTGTCATTTGGATATAGTACCTAAGATGAATAGCCATAATGATCTGAGAAGGTTATGGAACATACTAGTCTCCCATCTTTGTGTAAGGTTGTAAATATTTTCATACACTTCAACCAAAACAACACAATAAAGGTAGAAGCAAATCTGAACATCCAGGGGTCTTCTCAGGAGACAGACAGGAAAGGGACTTGCAAAAATGTAAAAAGCAAGAACATCACTCTTCTCACTCTGATTTTTATTTGTCGAAATAGTTATTTTGCATAAAAACAATATTTCTGTTTTCATGCCATGGATTATTAATATGATTCTAAATGAATTAATGAATTTTTAAACCTGTTTTATTCCTACTACGGTAAATACTGATGGAGATAACCCACAGACACAAAATGATCCTTGGGATCCTCAGCCATCTGTGAGACTGTGTAGATACCCTGTGAACAGAATGTTTGAGAATCACTGACTCACGCAGCTCCTGGGCCACGGCTCAGGGGGACAGTGCGACAAAGAGCGCTCTATGCAGTAAGTGAGGGATCAGGGCAAAGTCCCAAGTCCCTGGGTCGCCTCTCAGGCCCCAGGGCGGGGTCTGGGGTGGGGAAGCCCAGTGTTGGGGAATTCCCACTCTCTGGGTTTCACTTCTCTCTCTCCCAACCTGTGCCATCTCCTCCTGCCTGGATACTCGTGACACACACCCAGCTGGCGCTCCCATTGGGTGCCGGGTTTCTGGCGAAGCCAATCAGCAGCACCGCGGTTTCGAGTTATAAAGTCCCCTCACCCGCCTCCGAGACCAGCAGCTACCCACCGTCTCCTCAGACTCTGAAGATGGAGGTCGTGATGCCCCGAACCCTCCTCCTGCTGCTGTCGGGGGCGCTGGCCGTGACCGAGACCTGGGCGGGTGAGTGCGGGGCGGGAGGAAAGGGCCTCTGCGGGGAGGGAGCGAGGGGACCCCCGGGGAAGGCGCCTCTCCGCCGCCCCCGCCCCAGACCCCAGACGCCCGGGTCCCGCCCGGGCCTGTGCTCCCCGGTCCCTCCCCGCCTGCGCCCTGCTCTCCCCCACTCCGTACCCCACCCCCCGCCCTCCCGGCCGCCTCCCCCTGGTCCCCTGGCCCCGCGTCGGGAGGAGGGTCGGGCGGGGTCTCAGCCCCTCCGCGCCCGCAGGCTCCCACTCCCTGAGGTATTTCTACACCGGCGTGTCCCGGCCCGGCCGCGGGGAGCCCCGCTTCATCGTCGTCGGCTACGTGGACGACACGCAGTTCGTGCGGTTCGACAGCGACTCTGCCAGTCGGAGGCTGGAGCCGCGGGCGCGGTGGGTGGAGCAGGAGGGGCCGGAGTATTGGGACGGGCAGACGCGGATCTGCAAGGACACCGCACAGACTTTCCAAGTGGACCTGAACACCATGCTCCGCTACTACAACCAGAGCGCGGCCGGTGAGCGACAGGGCCCGGGTCCAGGTCACGACCCCCATCCCCACCGCACCGACGGGCGGGGGTCGCCCCGAGTGTCCGGGTCTGAGCGTCACCCGAGTGTGAGGGACCCTCCCGCAACCCCACCCCGTCCCCCATCCTTAAGCCCAAAGAACCACGGGAACTTTTAGGCGGTCTTACTTTCTTTTTAACCCCCTCGCTGTCGGCCTGGGCCAGGGTCTCACAACATCCAGAGCATGTACGGCTGTGACGTGGGGCCCGACGGGCGCCTCCTCCGCGGGTACTATCAGGGCTCCTACGACGGCGCGGATTACATCGCCCTGAACGAGGACCTGCGCTCCTGGACCGCGGCGGACACGGCAGCGCAGATCACCCGCCGCAAGTGGGAGGACGCGGGTGATGCAGAGCGCTGGAGGAACTACCTGGAGGGCACGTGCGTGAAGTGGCTCCGCAGGTACCTGGAGAACGGGAAGGAGACGCTGCTACGCGCAGGTACCAGGGGCCCGCGGGTCCTCCCCAATCTCCCCTGCCCTGGGGCTGGCTTCATGGACTCAGTGGCCCAACACCGCCTCCCACGGGTGGGGAGAGGGAGGTCCGCCTGGGTGTTCAGGTTCCTACTGGAGAGTGACTCAGCCAGAGGGCCGCTTTTCTCTAAAGGACAATGGAGGAATCCAGTCTCTCCCGGGAGACAGGTGGAGACCATCCCTGCAGTAACCCATCAGCGGTTCTCTTTGACCCTGGCAGCCACCCTGGGAAACATGGCTTAACCTCTCAAGGCTTTTTTCTCCAGTGAGAACATCGTTGGAGGTCTGACTGGGTGTTTTGAGTCATTCACACGCGCACGCACACACACGCACATACACCCGCCACAGGACCATTAGTGCACTCTCCCTCTTAAACCTACAGCTTCCTATGCTGTACTCTCTCCCTGATTCTAGAACTTTCCAGGATGAGAAGATCCCAGGGCTGGATTTTGTGCTTCTTCCATCCAAACCAATACCCAGTCCATCTCAAGATGGTCACATGAATGCCATTTCAGTGGCCTATAAAGGTAAACTCAGGTGTGCATTTTCTGATTCTCTTTCTCAGAACCCCCCAATACACACGTGACCCGCCACCCCACCTCTGACCATGATGTCACCCTGAGGTGCTGGGCCCTGGACTTCTACCCTGCGGAGATCACCCTGACCTGGCAGCGAGATGGTGAGGACCTGACCCAGGACACAGAGCTTGTGGAGACCAGGCCTGCAGGAGATGGAACCTTCCAGAAGTGGGCGGCTGTGGTGGTGCCTTCTGGAGAGGAGCAGACATACACATGCCATGTGCAGCATGAGGGGCTGCCCAAGCCTGTCACCTTGAGATGGGGTAAGGAGGATTTTGGGTAGAGCCTCTTCTCAGGGAAATCAGGCCTTCTAGAGAACTTCAGCAGGGCCAGGACACTTACCAGAGCTCTGTACCCCTGACCTTGCCTCCATTTCCAGAGCCATCTTCTCCCACCATCCCCATCACGTGGATCATTGCTGGCCTGGTTCTCCTGGTGGTCACTGCAGTGATTGGAGCTGTGATCTGGAGGAAGAAGTGCTCAGGTAAGGAATGGAGTGGGCAGTGGGGGGATCTCAGGTTTCTTGTCCCACTGGGGGATTTCCTCGGTAGCAGACTGTCCTGCCTTGTTACTGAGAAGTACCATCCTCACAAATGGACTTGCCTGCTCTGGAGCTGATCACTACACTCACTCTGTAGCAAACACTTGTGAAAATGAAGGACACATTTTCATCTTGTTAAATCTGGTGATGGAGACCTCATGCCCAGCAGTCACAGGACAGAGCGGAAAGTCCCTGCTGAGGACAGAACTCCAGCCTGCTGGGTGACCCAGTGACTCCTCACCTCGTTTTTCATGTTTCCTATCATGTCCTGGGAGTTCAGTTACAATTCTGGAAACTTCATTTAGAACCAGGACTGGGAGCTTCCTTTAGGATCTCATGGCCCAACCCTGTCCCAGGCCTCTGATATGCTATTTTTTTCCCACAGGAGAAAAAGGACCAGGTTACTCTCATGCTGCACGTAAGTATGGAGGGGTGATCCCTGAGACCCTGAGATAGTGTAGACAAGACCCCATCGGGAACTCACACACCCCATAGCTCCTCCTTTAGTCTCCTCTCCTGTGGGCTCTGACCACATCCTGTTTGTTCTCCCCTAGGCGATGACAGTGCCCAGGGCTCTGATGTATCTCTCACGGTTCCTAAAGGTGAGACCCTGAAGACCCTGATGTGGAGAAGGATTGAGGCATTAAGGACACTTTGAGCATGAGGGGAGCTTCTGAGATGTCCCCACTTATGGGACTGACCTCAATTTGTACATTATTTTTTTTCACAGTGTGAGACCAGCTGCCTTGTGGGGACTAAGAGATGGAAGATTTCTTCACACCCCCACTTGGTGACATCAGCAACCCCTAACTTCTCTTTGTGCAGATGTCAGAATGTGTCTGTGTTCCTTTGAGCATAATGTGAGGACATGAGATTTGCCCACCCTGCCCATCAGACCCCTCCCTATTCTGATTTTATTCTCTTTTCTGATGTGCTTTCCTGTTCCAGCAGAGGCAGGACTGGACCATCTCCATCCCTTTCCTTATTTCATGTTGGGCTGAGTATGAATGACTTACTTCTGTATTGAAAATGAGAATCCAGACAGGAGTTGTGTTTCCTAATTCTTGCCATATGGGGTTGATGAGGTAATAAAAGAGGAGATTTGTAAAATTGAGACAGCAAATAAATGGAAGCACTGAGAACCTTCCAGAATCCGTGTGTTTACTGTGCTGAGTCTTGCGGGTGGGGGCAGAAGGTTGTGAGGAGACAAGTGGGGATGGGGCCTGTGCCCAGTGTGTGCTCAGTGCATCATGGGGGTGACATGCTCACCCCTCAGCTGGGTCAATCTCTCTGCTCCGTGTCCTTGACCCTTGTGTGGAAGCTTGTCTCACTAGGAGCTGTGATCACAGGGACTTGGATATCACCTCTCACCAGGACATTGTGTAGCAAGAGATTCCTGTGACTGGGTCAGCCTCACCTCAGGCCTGGGTTGGGTCATAGCCTCCATTTGGGGGTGGGCTTTTTTCATTGTTTCTCTAGAGCATCAGGCCGGCTCTTGCTCTTGTGTACCAGTTCTTATCCCATTCTCCCTTGGTGACCCTATCGGTTATAGCAGCAGGTGTCCTTTGGCTGTGTTCCTACAGGCCTAGGTTGTCCCCTGCACACAGGAGTCTCTGCGGTATGGAGAGATGAACTTTCAGATTCATCCATCTCCTCCCTTCACTCTAGACCTGTTTTCTAGATTATTCTTGGGATTCTGGAGATAGAGGAGGAATCTGAAAGTTTCTCAGCCTTAATAAACATCAGTTAGTTTCTCTCTCGAGCTGCTCTACCCTCTCTCCCCTACCCCTAGTTCAATGAGCCTAGTGCTGGCGTGGAGCCAAGTTCATGGATTTATAAAGCAGAGCCTAATGTAGATCTCTGTGGTTGGAGAAAACGACCCAAAAAGCCTGAGTACAGTGTTTCTAGAGAGGGAACTATGTGTGCTGTGCTGTGCAGGAGAGATGGTGTGCAGGGAGGGGCTGAGCAGAGAGAGGGAGGGGAGGGCAGCTCTGTGAGGGGAGAGAGCACTGATGGGGAAGTGGATGCACGTGGGGTGGGAGCTGCCTTGGAACAGCTGTTCCTGAGACTCATCTAGAAGGAGTCCTCTAGCTGCTCATTCATTCACCTGATAACTGTCATGTGCCACATACAGAACATGCTGTGTTTACATCTGGGCACCTGACTGAGACTAAGAAGAGGGAAAATGTGCTGGTCTCATGGAGAGTATGTTCTAGTGTAAGGGGCAGACTACACTTGACCCTCAGACAACGTGGGGATGAGACAGTGACCCCCTCGTGCAGTCAGAAATCCAAGTATAAATTTTGACTCCTTCCAAACATAAGAACTAATAGCCTACTGTTGCTGGAAGCCTCCCTGATAACATGAAGAGTCACTTAACACATGTTTGTGTTACATGTAGAAAACAGTCTTCTAACAATGAAGCTGCAAAAATTAGAAATCACAAAGAAGAGGAAATGCATGGACAGGACTTACTGAAAAAGTCCACACACAGGTGCACATGTATGGTGCAAACCAGTGTCATTAGGAAGTGAACTGTGTGTTGTGTAAGCGCAGTAGTAAGGGAAGTATTTAAGTTGGAAGTTGGCAGGAGCTGTGAGGAAGGAGACCCAGAGATCACCTGTCCTGAGACAGGGATGATGGCTTCTTTACTCCAGGGATCAGGGGAGCCTCACTGAGAAGGTGACCTCATCATGGAGGTCTGAGAATATTAGAAGGCTTTGGAGTTTTCTCTGAGTGAGGAGTGGAGTTACAAGAATGAACAGATCAATGGGTTTGACTTTCTAAGCAGCACCTGATTGCTGCTGTGAGAATCGAGAGGTGCAGGGCGAGTGACCAGTGGGGACAATGTAGGAAACCAGTGCTGTGTCCCAGGAGGGGGATGTGGGCTGTACATCTGGGGTGTGAGGAGGGAAGATATAGGAAATGGTTGGGTGCTGGATATTTACAGATGGACTTTGCAGCATTTCCTAACCACCAAATCTGGGTGGTGAGGAGGAGGAATCAAGGAGGGCATCCAGTATTTCAGACTGCAAGTAGAAATGGGGAGTGCTTTCCTTGGATATGGGGAAGATTCTGGAAGCAGGACATTGGGGGAAGCAGCATCACAGCAACCAGTTTGGGCATGTGGAATCTGAGATGTCCACTAGAAATGCAGTGAGGTTAGCAGTTGGATACAGAGTGCAGGGGAGGAGAAATATCCGGATTGGAGAAATAAATTTGGGAGGTGACAGCATATACATGATGATTAGAGCCTTCAGCAGAGATGAGGTCCCCAAGGGTCAAGGGCCATAGAAGAGAAAGGAACAGGACCAAACCCTGGACTCCTCAGGGCTAAGCAGGCTGATCAGAGCGCATACCCAGACCACATTGCACAGTCTGGTTCTGCATCTAGAAGTCACAGAGATCAGGGAGGCCCAGCCTTCAGTGTGCATGGGAATTTCCTGGACTATGAAGATCTAGACAGTCTGGGGTAGAGCGTGAGATGCTGGGTTGATAACAAGGTTGGTGCTGCTGCTCCTGGTCTTCAGATCCCACAATGAGTAACAAGCACAGGAAGCAGGATCCCCACATGGCCGTGCATCAGCCTCTCCTATTGGGCTTATCATGTCAGTGATTCCTGGGCCCACGCCCAACATTCTAAGATGGGGGGTCTGGGGAGAGGCCTGGGTATTTGGTAACAAAGCCACAGGCAATCCTGTGACTCCACCAGATAGAGGAGCACTGAAGTCATCGACAAGAGCCCTCATTGTGGGAAGGGGTTTTACAGACACATTTAAATGCTTTTTTTGCGGGCCTGTGGGTGTCCCACACTTGCTTTCAGCTCAGGTCATGACCTCGGGGTCATGAGAACTAGCCCATGTTGGGCACTGCACCCAGTACAGAGTCTGCTTGAAACCTCTTCCCTCTCCCTCTACCCCTCCCTGTCTCTCTCACGCATGCTCTCTCTCTCTCCTTCTGTCTCAAATAAATAAAATCTTCAGATGTCTTTTTGTAGGAAGAAAAATGCAAGACATGCTGGGAGATGCATTTTTTTCTCTCCTGTGGGGCACAGACTGAGGAAGTTTTCATCTCAATATAAAAAGTCTGAGTTACCGAGAGTGTAGATCTTAAATGTCTGCATCACACAAAAGGAAATGGTAACTATGTGACATGATGCACATGTTAGCTAATGTTATGGTTGTAATCACTGTGCAATATAAAAATGTATCACTCAGCAGGTTGTACCCCTAAACTCACACAATGGTGTATGTCAATCATATCTCTATAAAGTTGGTAAAAGATGTCTGAAATCTTGCTCTTGGAAACTCTTCCCTACGTGGGTTTCTGACTCCTTGTGATACATACATACAGTTACAGAGAGACTCAGGGAAGAGAGAGAATATATGGGACCTTGTTTTACTTCCAGGAAAGCCACAATACAGGTTTGAGGCTACACAGCCAGAAGCTGAATCCACACTGGACCCTGGACGGCGATCCACAGACAGCCAGCACATGCTAATGGGTATCGATACCACTGACTCCCCTGAGGGAGGCCACTGGACCCTGCAGCTGGGACTGCTATGACTGCTGCCCCTGACAGCTGCATGATACGACTGTGACACTGCTCAGACGCCCTGTGCCTAATGCATGGATCCTGTCCCAGTGTGCCTGTCAGGTGTCCAGAGTCAGAGTCTGGCAGGTGGTCACGTGACTGTTGAAACTTCATGTCATGTCCAAGTGCTAGACTGTTTGGCAAAGTGGGTTCCCCTCTCTGTGGATGGAGGTGTCTGTGCTCCCAACAAGATTGTCGACATGTGGCATTCCTGCACATGGCAAGAAAGGTACAGTTTTGGGAATAGACATTGGGAGCCAGGAATGGAAAAGAATGACAAATTTCCACATTTGGAGCCATGATATGAGATGAGAACTTGATCTGGACACTGTAGGCACTCAAGTCTGCTTGGAGGAGGAGTGACTCATAAGTGGCATCTTTCAACTTATTTCCTTGATGGTTGTTTTCGCCCAGGTTTGTCCACTCCAGTCCCTACTCACAATGAGTGGAGTAGCATTGTTGGGTCATGAAGTGATGGTTCACCACATCTTCTCTCAGCCTTTGTCTCTTCCAGGGATTAAAAACCCAGATCTGTGTCACTTCAGGCGATCCTCATATACACGCTGATATTTGATGTTTCTTTCTATACATACATATTTCTGGGAGAGAGTATCCATAATTTCATCAGGTTGATGTGGCCTCCACAAAAGTCTGAAAACCATTCCCGTGTAGACACTGCCTATTTCATCTCTGGTCCATGAACAGCTAATGATCACAGTGTTTCAGGAGATCCAATGACGTGACATTTATGCTCAGTTTTGTTTGGAAATAACCAGTCTCAGACAGGAGAAGGTAGAGTTTTCTGGCTTAAACTCACTTTCAACTTCTGTATTTACTTTCTGTAGCCTGAGGAACAGTTCCCAGACCAGGCCTGGCTCACAGGAGACACAGATCAGCACTGGTTTAGGTAACTTACACTTTAGCACCGACTTGGGTGCCTAAAAGAGCAAAAATGAAAAACATTTACTGAGGATTCCATTTCCACCTACACAGTAGACCAAGGTTTAAGGCTGCCCCTCTCCACATGAGGTGATGAGCTCTGGTGTTATATGCAACTGATTAATTATTGAACTCCACATATGAAACTAATGATGTACTCTGTTGGCTAATTGAATTTAAATTAAAAAAAATTTTAATAAAAAAGGCTGCCTCTTCTCCCAAAAATGAAAATGGTAGAAAAAACATAAAATCACCCAAAAGTGCAGAACAATCAAGAGAAAAATCAATTAGCCCAAAATTTAAATATAGGCCATAAGCCCCAGAGAATAGTTGCTCTGATCCGTAGAGTATTTTTCAAATCTAGAAAATCTTAGCTTGGCTTCTCAGGCTCAGGAGCTTCATAGAGAGGAGACAATGCCCAGAGCTGCTTCCTGTGAGGAGCAGGAGAAACATCCCCTCCCTGAAAATCTGGGAACCTAAGAGTCATATCCTCAGAACAAGGTGACACAAACCAAATCTGTTCTATCTTCAAGTGCAAGAACATTCTAAGGAAATTTGCCTTTGGGTCGGGGAAAAGTGAGCAAACAGCTATTTCAAAAATTTGCAGACACCGACTAAG